CTCTCAGCTCATCCATTCCTATTCTTTACCTATTCAAATGGATCCTGACCCCAGAGCCTGTGCCCCCCGAGTGCGTGCGCATGAAGTGTTATCTGGTACGACCTCCAGTCAGTGTGGGAGGTGCAAGGGGCCTCCAAAGGGCAGGCCTGAGCTCAACTCCAGCTGCATCCCCAAAATTGCCTCATCAGCTGGTTTAGATGGGGATAGAGATCAGGGTTCAGAGAAGCCTGTCTGGGGCAAGGAGCAATGAACCCCTACCCCAAGCTTCCAAGTTTGGATGACTCTGGGCTCATGGCCACCTGGTAATAGAAGTATCCTCAATGGAAGCTCCCCTCCTTTACCCCTCTCCCCAGCCAGCAGAGCTCTGGGTCAGCTTAGGACTCACTTCTCCTGGTCAGAGTGGAAGAAGGCAGCTGAATCCCCTCCCCCAGGGAGCACATGCTTCTCTCAGAGCTCTGAGCCAGGGGCTTTCTTGGGTGGAGGTTTCCAGAACTCCGAGTTGCCTTGAAGATCACTGTCTCATGGAGAAGCATGGCCATCTATCAGCAGAGAGGGACCACTTCAGCTCTGAGGATGGCTGGCCCAGGGTAAAACAGCACCTTATTTAAGTTCCCATGGGAAGGAAGGAAGGAAGGAAGGAAGGAAGGAAGGAAGGAAGGAAGGAAGGAAGGAGAAAGAAGCATTTGTTTTTAATAACTGCTGGCACTGAGTAAGCACCTACTATGGGCCAGGCATCATATTCTGCTTTATAGACATGATCAGATTTAATCATCACAAGAGTCCTATAATAATAGCTATTATTATTATCTTCATTTTGTAGATGAGCAAACTGTAGGCCGGAGAAGTTGAACAACATATCGAAAGTTAGAAAGCTAGAAAAATAGCAGAAACAAAATTTGAACCCATGGCTGTCTGGCTCCTGGAGTGCACCCATTTCACTGGCGACCCTGCCGCCGTTACCTAATCCTCCTTCCAGCCTGTGAGGCAGAGACTCTTGTCCTCGACCCCGGGACAGATGGAGCACTGAGCCTCAGTAAAGCTGGTGCCGTTGCTGTTGCTAGAAGCAGGGAGAGGGCAGCTGCCGCCTCGTCCATTTATCCAGGGTAATGTTGAGCTTCAGAGCACAAACCCAGGAAAAACTGAGGCTGAAATTCTTACTAGTAGGGTGACCTTGGGCTGGTCCTCACCTCTTTAAGCTTCAATCCTTTAAAATGGGGAGGACTGTCTAGTTGTAGGGCAGTTGGGAGGATTACAAAAGATAATGCATATGAAGTGTTGAGCATGTGGGAAGTGTCTTTACTTAAAGCTCCTCTGCCTCTGCCTTAGAGGTTCAGATTTTGTTCAGATGCTTGACACATGATCCTAGTTAATTATGCACACCAGTGCTTCTAAATCCTGCTGATGTAAGAATTACTTGACCAAAGTATAAATGCTTGGGCCCCACCCCAAAAGATCTTGAATTAGGAGGCCTGGCTGGGGCTTAGGACTTTTTATCTTTAATAAATTCCCAGGGGATTCTGATGCACAGCAACATTTAGGGGAATCAATCTACTAGTGTAGACATCTCAGCCACAGTGGGGAAGAGACAGATCGGCTCCTCTCTAAGTCCCCTTCTTCCCTTTCTTGTCACCACCAGCATCCCTTTTGCCCAGTTCCTCCCCACTGGCTTGAGTGCTCTCCCCAAATCAAGGTCTATATGGCTTATTAGTGAGTCAGTCAGTGGCACTCAGAGTGTCATGGACCTGCCTCTCGAGAGGCCTGGGAACCCAGCACAGGGCTGGGGAGCAGGATGCCAGGGTTGCCAGGCTTTCTAACCCCTTCTGACTCACTGGTAGCCCACGGCCAGCAAGTCTCCAAGCCTCAGTTTTCTCATGGTCAATAGACAGGGAAAGCAGCGTGGCCCATTTGGACTCTGCTTCCTGAGATGTGTGTCCCTGGCACCTGACAGCCAGAGAGCAGGTGGGGGAAGACGTGAACGAATTCTGCATAACTGTACTTCCCCATTGATATCTCATTTGATGTTCACAATGGTAGGGCATAAAATCCAGTGTCTACCTTGGCCTATAATATCCTCTGTTATCTGTCCCTAGACTTTGCTCTGACTTACCTCATATCCCTCCTTCCTTTCTGGCCTCCTTGCTGTTTCTTGAATGCCCCACACCTGTTCCCACATCAGGGTTCTGCATTATTGGCATGGCTGGGATTGCCTTTGCCAGGGATGGCCACAAGTCTGACTCCTTCTTATTATTCATGCCTCAGTTTACATGCCACCCCCTCATAGAGGACTTTGCTAATCGGTCACCGAATCTAAATTGTCATCCCAAGCACTGGGACACACAATTTTGTAGCACATCATTGTATTTTAACTTTCACCTTGGCACTTGTCATCATAGCATCTGTTTCCTTCTTTATTGACTTTGTCCTGCCTGTCTCCCCCTGCTATAGAATGTAAGCTCCATGAAAGCATGTCCCCGGCTGTCTGGTTTATTGCTGTGTCCCTGGTGCCTGAAAAGCACTCGGTGAATGTTTGTGGAGTAAATGAGTTAATGAGGTTGTCCCAGCATTAATTGCAATTTCTTTTTTGGTCAAGGGACACTCAATGTTCTGAGAAGGGAAGTGACTGTCCCCAATACATTCCAGGCCTTTTGTCTTCTTTTCCAAGCCCTTCCTGTAAAACCTGGCTGACACACAAACCTACCTGGGGTGAGGTTTCCAGGTGTGATGAAAGCTTGGGGTTACCCTATGAATGGGACTAAGGCTGATGTGGGGGTGAGAAGGCGGAAGAACATGCAAAGGGAGAGGCAGGCTGGGACAGGACAGCAGGGTGTGAACCTGGCCTTGGGTCTGGGAAAGGGGGGGTGACTTGGCTGTGTGTCAGGAAGTGTTTCCCTCCACCCTACCCTGGGGAGAGCCCTGACCCCAAGGTGGCTTTGTTTTGGGGAAGCAGGTGATCAGGCAGCTGCTGAGGGGGAACAAAGGCATGGCCTGCGTGGCGAACATCCGAGGAGGTCCTAGGTCCAATACCTATCACCCAAAGCAATAATTCCACAGTGGCACTTGGCCAAATAGGTAATAGGTAAGCTTCCGCCTGAAACCAGCACAACCATAGCATGGAACCTCAGACCTGTGGGGAAAAGGGAGAAAAGAGGCCTCTAAGAGAATGGAGTGGTCAAGGTAGAATGCTTAGTGATGATAATGATGATGATGATGATAATGTCTCATTTATCGAGAGTTTATAATATGCCTGGCACTGTACTGCTTTATATGTGTTCCCTTGTTCAATCTTCAAAAACCTCTCTCCAAAGTAGGCGCTAAAGTTATTACTGTTGCCTGGCTGGTGTGGCTCAGCAGTTGAGCATTGCCCTATAAACCAGGAGATCATGGTTCTATTCCCAGTCAGGGCACATGCGGGGGTTATGGGCTCAATCCCCAGTAGGGGGCGTGCAGGAGGCAATCAATGACTCACTAATCATTCCTGTTTCTATTGTCTCTCCCTCTCTCTGAAATCAATAAAGTCATATTTAAAAAAATATATTATTATTGTTATCCCCTCTTCAGAGGTGTGGAAACTGAGGCCCAGTGAGATTAAATATCTTGTCCAAGGTCACACAGTAAGTAGAAAAGGCAGGATTCCAATTTAGGGCTGTAGCGATTCCAGTGCACCTTAGAACCTAGGCCTGGGGAGGGCTGCCCCGGTAGGTTAAGTTGTCAGAGCCTGATTGACCCCTGCAAATTGGGGATGGGGAGGGACAGTGGGATAGACTATGTATAAATAGCAGGCCTGTTTTTATCTCTACACATGGGCTAAAGCAGCTCTATCTGGCACAATTTGAGGGCTCTGAATGCCAACCCAGCCCTGTCATACAAATCCCTCCCCAGCACCTCCCTAGGAGCTGAAATACCTACTGAGAGTCATTTCTTTGGGTCAGGACATTGACTCCAGAAGACCCCTGTCACAATGAATAGGTTGGGAGAGAAACACATCAGTCTCCTGGCACCTGTTGAACAAAGCAACCCTTGGCAAGCTAGCTTCTTCCTGCAGGAGTGCGGCTCAGTTTTTATGTTGGAGAAGAAGGCGGTGTTCAAAGGCAAGGAAAAGTATGAGGCTTGTTTCACAGCCTGTGTCTCTCCAATCCCAGAAGCCTGGGAATTATAATCCATGGTCCAAAAGTCCTAATGGATACTATGTTCTCTGGGAAAGAGATGGGAGAAGCCACTCCCAGGCTGGAAGAATCTTAACCTCCTTTGTTTTTGTTGGGTTGATATCAGGCGCCTGCAACTGCAACTCTGGATACCCCGGGCTCATGAGATCTGCTGGCATTCATGTGTCTGCTTTTTAAATGATAAATAAATATATTATTAATTACTACTTGCAGTGTTGGTGGCAAAGAAGCAAGTTTCCAAAACTCAGAAGCTGACATGGTGGAGAGCCCTGGTTTACAGCAGGGATGGCCTTAGGGACAGGGCCTGGGAGAAGGGAAGGCATGAGGGGTGTCCAAGGGCAGAGCTCAGCTCAGCAGTCACAAGGCTGCAGCGCGACAAAGGTTTGGGGAAAGGTAGGAACCGGTCGCCGCCACCTGCCGGTCACCAGTCTTACCCACAGTCAGGCCGTGGCTGCCCTGGCCTGTTCCCAAAAAATGTGAGCGCCACCCCTACTCC